TGAAAAAAAACAAGCACAATAGGCAGTTGTGATCACGATCAGCAACCAGGATTACAAGAAGCATGAGTAATGGTCCACCGCAGTTTGCAAACACGCTGTGAACGATTGGAAAACATACTACGAAAGTTGGCTACCCACTGATGAGGTAGACAATTAATTAATATGAATGGAACCCATCTATCAGAAAAATTAGGCACCCACTGATGCAAATAGGCTGTGTCACGACTAACAATCGGATTAGAGCCCGATTGTACTCGAAAAATAATACCCACCGGTTGGAAAACATACGAAGTTGGCCACCTTCTGATCAGTGGCCGGGCAAGTAATGCGATAACCGGACCAGAGTTCACAAAGGACCCTGGGCTGGAAGAAGAACTGCTTGAAGAACAATGCCCTCGGCGGCTGGGAAGTTCGAAGAACCTCATAGTGGTCCACCAATGATGCAGAACTTAGCAGTCAAGTAACTCAGCTGTAATCGACACTAGAGGATGGGGCCGAACTTCGTCGGCAGGAACCTTGTTTACTGTTTCTGTACAGTGTAAAGTAGCAAACGATCTTCCGAAGTATTTTGTACAACATTACATAGTGAGATACATTTTTGTACAGAGGTGCGAGGCTGCAATCCTTGAGTTATTTAGTGACGAATTTTGAGCATATTGGTAGGAATATACGTAGTAGTACAACAATACTTGTTACACGTTTGGAGATCCTTTGGGTACTAGCCTGCACGATGTTCAACTGTGGAAGGTAATTAGTGTACGAACAATGATGATGCCAGTGAATAGACTGAACACATACCACAATTCTTCAAGGTGAAGACCCGGATCCTCTGATTGGTCGTTTTCCTTTATTGGTTCGTTCTGTTGAAGGTCCTGCGTTGAGGCGGCGACGTTTGAAGGGGCTGATTGGCATGGCTGCCGGCGGTGAGAGTACAATGAGTTCTCGTAAAATGGAATTAAAAATGTCGCGCTTCGATTTGTTGATGCGATGATGGCAAAATGCCATGTGAACCTCCACAAGTGCACCTTTGAGTTTTGATTCGTATTGAAGGGGTGGGATCAGAACGTGGTTCTCGTATGCATGTCATGGTGACTTTCAACGTGGAAACTGACCTAGACATCGCCAACGGTTCTCGAGGCGAAATAACGAAAATCGTTCTTGATGAACGTGAAACAGATTTTCTCGCCGACAGCTGCAATCGTGGAACTGACATATCCACCAGCATATGTTCTTATTAAGCTGAACCGTACGAAAGCGGTTCAGCTTGAAGGTCTGGAGAAGAACATAATACCGTTAGTTCCAATGGAGCGCACGTTTACCGTTATCCACGGAAATCACCCGAAATCCATAAGAAGATGGCAGCTGCCTCTCACACCAGCATACTCGTTCACGGACTATCGGTCACAAGGTCAGACCATCAATAACGCCATTATAGACATTGCGACACCACCTACCGCGGGGCTTACTTCATTCAATGTCTATGTCGCACTATCACGAGCTCGTGGCCGAGACGGAGTTCGGTTGTTGAGAGATTTTGACGAGAACTTGCTGATGACACATCCGTCAGAACATTTGAGAATTGAAGATGAAAGGTTGGCAATGATGGATCGGGAGACGGAGCAATGGTGGAAAGAAAAGACGACACGTGAAGTAGTGTTAGAAGACATTGAGATGTTGTAGTACCAGTTGTGCGAGTTAAGGTGTATACTGTATGACAAGTGGGCGCTGCGAGTTTTGGTCCACGTTTCGCGATGGTGGCACAGAAGGCAAAGAGACTACGATCATGGCATACGCAAAGGGTGCGAGATCTACCAGTGATGCGTCAAAGTGCGCGCAGGTCAGCTACGAGGCGTGATTAGGCAGTGCGAGCTCCACCTATTTACACCATTCGCCACCCGGTTACACCAAAGGCAGTTACTAAGTGAGGAGGGTAGAGCTGCGAGCACCGCCCACATTCTCGTTCCATGCCAGAGTCGCCTACTTGGTAAGTAGTAAGATAAGTTCCCATGTGTACACAAGTTGGTTCTCTTCAGCCACAATTATCAGCCGTAGTGACCTTGTAAACAAGGTAATTTCTCGCACGTGACCTTCATGATTTGGTTTAATAACTTATAAGCTTCGCGTCGCAGTCGCCATACAGCTAAAGACACCAAAGTTCCCCCCAACATTCCTTTCTGACAAGTAGTACGTTCATGCAGTCCCTTGTTGCGTGCAAAGGTTTACGTTGTGCAGTCAGGATGGTGTTCAAAATAGCCGGTTGGGCGCTCAGCTTCCAGCAAGTGCGCACATGGTTAGAGAAGCAAGGTCAGAAACACCAGCACTTGGGGGACGAATTCCTCGCTACCGATCTCAATTACTGGTTCGACGAGAGAAACATCGATTACCTCTGGGCTGTTTGCACCGACTATCCTCGAGGGAGCCTGCAACCAGTCATCGTATTGGTTCGGAGGCGTAGAGAAGATCCCAAGTCGACGGTCTCCCACTACTATCGTGTCAGAGAGTTGGACGGGGACCGTGAAATAAAGAAGCAACTGTTGGAAGAGAGTGGGCTGGCTGATGAGGATTTGCCTTGGATCACTGTTGCGGACCCGTTCTTCCAATGCTGATGTTGTCGTCGCGAGGTGAATGGAATTGGGATGGGAAGTTTCACGGGTCCCAATCTGGGGCTTGAAGAACAACGCTCCACAATTCGAGTACGAAAACCCCCTGATGCCGAACAGGTACAATCCTCTGCTCGAAAAAGGACGTGGTGGTCATGATTCATGTTACACCATGAACAGAACAGGTTAGTATTACCACAATTACGTTGATCGCACGTGATCTTCAAGGTGATGGTTTTGCAGCCCCGCAGTTGTAAATTTTGCAACATCCTGTATTGCGTTGGTATTTCGGAGTCCTTCCTATCTGACAAACAGTACATTCACACCACCGTCCTGTGCATCAAAGGTTCACGTCCCTTCCACTAGCTACGATGGTGTTCAAAATAGCCGGTTGGACGCTCAGCGCTCAGCTTCGAACAAGTGCGCACTTGGTTAGAGAAGCAGGACCAGGAACACCAGCACTTGGGCGACGAAGGCCTCGCCACCGATCTCGATTACTGGTTTAAAGAGAGAAACATCGATTACCTCTGGGCTGTTTACACCGACTATCCTCGAGGGAGCCTGCAACCAGTCATTGTATTGGTTCGGAGGCGCAGAAAAGATTCCAAGTCGACGGTCTCCCACTGCTATCGTGTCAGAGAGTTGGACACGGATCCTGAAATAAAGAAGCAGCTGTTGGAAGACAGTGCGCTAGCTCATGAGGATTTACCTTGAATCACTGTTACGGACCGATGCTGATGTTGTCGTCACGAGGTGAATGGAATCGAAATTGAAAGTTTCACGGGTTTGGGGTTCGTTTATGTCAAATTATAGTCTCCCCAGTCAGACCTTGAAAAAAGGAAGACAGTTCTTCCCTATTTTTCAAGATATAATTACACAACGGTACAGAGCCATTTCTTCCATGCCCATGGATCATCTCGGTCATGAGTCTGAAGCAGCCTTATTATGGCACATCGATCTCTGTCGCTTCAAATGCCCAAGTTTTTACGGTGGTTATGCGGCAATTATATTGTCTCTGCCTGCAGCGGATCCTACTACGTTTCTAGGTCATACATTAGACAGACAGCATATAGGCATTGCTATTACCCTTCTCACTTGAAAGAAATATGTTGGAACACGCGAGCAAGCTGGACAAGCCAGGAGGGGTACCATGCAGCACACTCATCTGGATTACATCTGATCTAAGTACACTGCGATTGCTCGTGGAATGGACGAACTTGGACTAGACTCTTTTACAGCTCCATTATAACTTTCTTGAGGAGCCATTCCTTATATCTTGGATCGGATAGGACAACAGGAACTTTCACCTGCCCAATTGAGACGTTCTTGTCGCTTTTCTGCCTGCGATATTCTGAGAAGGTGCCTTTCTCCACGAGACGGATGGTTGGCTTTCTGGACCTGCCTTGCCAGAAAGCAGTGCGATACTCATGGTTTGCCGCCATGAGGTCTTCAAAAGTCTGCTGCGGCGCCATTCTGGCGTCATTTCCTGTGAATATCAATTAACACAATCGCGGAAAAGAGCTGCCAAGCAAGCGCTAACCTATTTCTCCTACAATTTCTATCAAGTACCCATAGGTAATAGGCGTATCTCGCTCGTCGCCCACGATAGTGAAATCCATGATTTGGCCAATCCATCGGTTAGCGGCAAAAACGATCGCGTTCGTCAATTGCGACTCTGTACACGTTGTTCCAAATGCCAGCCCAAGCGAGCCACTTCCCCAGCAGGCATGTCAATTGCTAAGTCTAAGTTTGATGACATCACAACTCACTCTCGCCTGTGAAGGTAATTGATGATAGGCAACCCGTCATCTGGATCGAAGCCTTTGACAGCGACGACATCACCAATGCGGTATCTCCACAGGCCATTGCGGGTCGTCACGACGGGTTCGTAATGCCCTCCAGCTACAAGCTCCCACTAAGGCAGGGACTTAGTAGACGAAGGGGAGATGCAGTGGATGGTTCTTACAGCGGACAAGACATGCTCGGAAGGCTCACAGGAACGCACGTCCAGAAACTCGGACATCCCATCTACGAACATTACCTTGAAGTCGGTATTAGGATTGCCTTTGTAGTATGTCATGGCGATACCACATTCTGAACCGCCATACGCAAGAGCCTCGATGGAAACAGAAGGTCCGAGGACGTGATTAATCTTTGTGTCGCTGACTGTTAGTTGGGTAGTAAAACCTTCCACGATTAACGTGCCTTTGGAACAGAAGCAGCAGCGGGACCGCCAGTGATCCCAATGAACTTATTCAAGTCAGGCCACACACGGACCGCCCAGCCCTGAATTCCAGGAGGCCCAATTTCGCGAAGTTCGGCAGCGCGAAGAGGGTTTGGAGTGAGATGTTTCTGAGAGAAGTCGTCAGCTAAATGGAATCTAATAGTCAACAAAAATATGACCTGTAAAGGTGCACGCAAATGGTCTAAGTCTTCGATGTCCGGGATGACACCCTTCTCGATACAGTCGACAAGTAGAGGCCATTCATCCTCTACGTATTGCAAAAAATTGACGAATACATTGGCAAAGAAGAAGCGGACGGTGGTCACCCCACGGTCTGCCAGTGCAAATAGCGCATTCAGGACAAAGTAACCGCGATAGCTGTTGATTAAGGACATCGCATATGGATCCGTTTGCCCCGGAACTGAAAGTCGCCAAGAGATCAGCATGCGCAAGGGATAGTAGCGCGATGAGCTTACGCCACAAATCGAGTCTATCATTATCGCCCTCGACGTCCCAGTTCATTGCCATTCGCAGATAACCGACGCTCAACGAGCAGACCGTCACCTTCTTGGAGCTCTGACCGTCCTCGCACTCTATTTCCAGGACTTGCTGATACTTCAAAGAAGATGGTGATAACGTGGTACCCTCTGACGGGGGAAGTGCCAGAAACAAAGGGTGCTGCAAGAGGTGTGAGGGAGGCCGATACTTTGGGAATATCTTCGCCGTTGTCCCAGTTGTCATACTGGACATGGCGAAGAAGTAGGGCAGTCCAGGGGCGAACATGTTTTCGACATCAGCCTCCTTGCAAGGGGTAGCCAAGAATTTTGCTATGAATGGCCTGTACGGTTCGTAGTTTGTAGTGGGAACAAATTCTCGGAAGCTACGTAGGAAGTCGATATCATCCTTCGAGTCGCTCTGCGCGATAGCTTCGCGAAATTTTGCCAACTCGGGGGCATGTTGAGAGAATTGAGACGTATAATTTGGCCGTATGAATTCGAGCAGGGCTTGATCTACGTGATCCTTGAGCTGCTGAGAGAGTTCGGTGGACAATGAGTCCAGGAGATCTATTTCAGGACGAGACATTGCCGTAGCATGGTATGAAGTTGGAACACGACATTATATACCGTGACGTGGAGTTCATCGTTTTGTGAGATTTCTCTGCAGTTAATGTATAGCGTGACGTGGAGTGTATAGCCTGTTGAATTTCCCTGCAACTATTTGTCGTTCGGGTACAAGTTTCGCGCTGTGCTGGCATCCCTCACGGTCAGTCTGCATGACAAGTCATCACCGCATGCTTTGGTTCGTAGCCAATGATTCTGCGTGGCAACTTATGATTGCACAATTTGCACCAGTGGTTTGTGGCGGATGACGGGGTGCACCAGTGGGCGTGGGCATATGTAGGGCCTCGTCTGGGCGTGCACGTGGTTCACAAGCAGTCGACCCATAAGACAGTAGTCGCGCGCGATGACCTCGGAGTACAGATCATGATGTACTGGTGCTTTAACCCGGGCGTGCGCCTGGTTCACAAACACAGTCGACTGTAATGGGTGCATTATCAAAGTAGCCGCGCGTGATGGTTGCGGAGTACAAATCATGGCGCACTCGTGCTTTAAGATCCTGCAGTGCACCGCAACTGGCAGGGCTATTAGAAAGTCATTACAATGTGCTTACCTGAGAACCCTGAGAGGCCGCTTGATCGGCACCAAATGTGGATGATATGATATGAGGATCTCCCCTGCCAGTGTGCATACTTATCAGGAAGGAAAACTGGTTCTTCTTTTTAGGTAGTGCGTACTACATATCACTGTGGG